CGTGGAACCAGGAGACGATCTGCACTTGTACAGCCAAGGAGAACAGCACAGGGAGAAGCATCAGTGCTACAGTCTCCAAGGAAACAGGTCCAGTATCGTATCATCCAATCTAACCTGCCTTCCTGGGTATTTGTGCTACATCCCTCACCGTGGTATCTGGGCACCAAGAGTCAGCGACATCTACTCCAGGCTAGAGAAATAGACAGAATCAGATGGGAAGGCTCAGGGGAATGATAACTAATGGGAACAAGGAGAGGTTTGGAAACATTGAGAGGGAGCTTGAAGTGTGGGGCAGACAGTTACGGTTGCCCCCCATCACCCACCTTTCCCACCCCCAGCCCTTCTGAAAACCTTCATTTTTCAACCCTCCCAGTGGTGAGAAATGGGTTTCTGGTCAAGCAGGCCGAGCCTTCCCCTGCATGTGATCACAGCAAGGACACAGAAGGGTCACTTGAGCTGAGCCAAAAGGGAATAACTAGGGAAGGAAATCAACAAAGGGAACAGCGGCATGAATGTCAGGAATGGCTTCCTGACAGCGAGATCTAACAGAGAATGGAACAGATGCCCGGGGGCAGGGCGGGAAGCCCCTGCAAAGGGGACTGGACAAAGCACTAGTGAATATAACACAGGGAACAATCCTGCAGTGTCTGGGGAGGAGCTAGAGGGCACCCAGTGTAACTGGGACGTCTCTATCTCTGGCTTCTGTGCCACCCCCTTTTGATTCTGTTGCAGCCATCACAGGAGCAGGAGGTCTCAGGCTGAAATGGCTCCATGGAACGATGTCCAGGGCAGGCCGGCAGGATTAGGGCTGGTCTCCACTGTTACCGGGTAACTCTGTCGAGCCGTGGTGTGAATTGTTGCCGACACGGCTATGCCAGTAAAAGCCTCAGTGTGGATGTAGTTATCCTGTATAAAGGGGCCTTACGCCAGCAGTTTATTTCAGTTCATGAATCAGGAGACGCTGTGCCGACAATGTTACAGTGGCAAAATTTTGTATAGACGAGCCCTTTAAGAACAAAGCGAATTCCAGGTGGCACAGACGGGCGTGTCCAGCCTTCCGAAAGGCCTTTTAATTTCCTAATCGCCTCGGCATTTGCAGCAAACTTGTGCTGGGAAAAAAGAAGCCACCTGGAATCTGACCACAACACTTCATGCTTTGAGCAGGGGGTGGGACTAGATGACCTCCTGAGGGCTCTTCCAACCCTAATTGGGCGAGGGATGTGCTGGCCGCGACTTCCCGCCGCCCCCATTGGCCCGGGACAGCGAACCACGGCCAGTGGGGGCCGCGATCAGCCGAACCTGCCGCGTCAGCAGGTAAATAAACTGGCCCGGCCCGCTAGGGTGCTTACCCTGGCGAGCCGCGTGCCAAACGTTGCTGAACCCTGCATTAGAGGAATTATGGGGGGTGGGAGGGAGAGAAGAGAGACAGAATAACAAAGATAGATCATTTTACAAGGTCACAGAATCATAGACAATTAGGGTTGGAAGAGACCTCAGGAGGTCATCTAGTCCCACCCCCTGCTCAAAGCAGGACCAATCCCCAACTAAATCATCCCTCTTCCCTGTCTTCGCACATCTCTCTCCCTCCATATACAGCAGGGCAGCAGCTCTCAACCTTTCCAGACCACTGTACCCCTCTCAGGAGCCTGATTACATCTCACTTAAAAGCTACATGCTTACACAATCAGAGATAAACATACAAAAGTGTCACAGCTCACGGTTATTGAAAAATTGCGGACTTTTACATTTTTACCATATAATGATAAAACAAATCAATTGGAATATAAATATTGTACTTGTATTTCAGTGTGTCGTATAGAGAGCAGTATAAGTAAGTCATTGTCCGGATGAAATTTTAGTTTGTACTGACTTTGCTGGTGCTTTTTATGTAGCCTGTTGTAAAACTAGGCAAATATCTAGATGAATTGATGTACCCCTTGGAAGACCTCTGTGTACCCTCAGGAGTACACGTACCCCTGGTTGAGGACCACCTCCACAGAGCACAGAACAACAGGTGTGGAGCTTCCGGGAAAACACCTCCCTTTGCCCATGGTGTTGCATGGGACATAGAGATCGGCAGCCCCTGATTTGATAGGCATTTTCTATACTCAGCATCTCTTCTCTCTGCAGGAGACTGTCGGATTGTGTTCTATGCTGGGCTGCCCTGTATTTCCATCCTTCTCCTGATCCAGCTGTTGATCTTGCTTTGGAGAAAGTGCCCCGTTAGAGGTAACTCAGTCATATCTCCGTCTGCAGTAAAGCAGCCACTCATCACACATCGCTATAACTGTCCCTTTGTTTCATCCACCAGGGAGAGCTGTGCAAAGAGGGAATCCAATACCTATGAGGCAGATCCCACAGGTAAACTGTTTTTTTAGCATTTGGCACATCAGAAAGATACAGTGTCTTAACAACAGGGGACTAGAACCAGTGTCCTGGCCAATGTCCAACCCTAGTGTCTATACATTGCCTCCTGAATTCTCTGAGGTTTCATTTGAATTTATTCTTCACTGCTCTTCCAGTGGAAGTGTTGTGGAGGGTTGTTGGTATAGAAGAACTGCTGGGTTCCACCCCAGAGGTGGCTGCAAGTCAGGCATGATGAAATAGTATGGTGTATATTTCTGTAAAGGACCACCAGATCATCTTGTCTGACCTCATGTGTATCACAAGCCACCAACAGCATCCAGCCACGCTCACACTAAACCCTGCACACAGGACAAAAGACAACCACTGAGGAATCTGCACCATTGATATAGGTTTTTCACATTCTTACAACAGAAAAGCTGCTCTAATACAAAGAATTAATAAGAATATCGTCTCTCTCCTTTTTCTGTTTCAGACTGAATATGCGACTCTGCCGTACAACAGAAAGGCTCCTCGGTGACTGATGCAGTCTCACAAAAGTGGTTTATATTTTTTAAAACAAGAGATGAAAAAAAAAAAAAAGAACAAAAGTGAGAGAAATATGGAAAGTCTCATGTTTGTAATGGGCTATGAGGTGATGTGAGTTTGCTTAAAATACAGACACTTCCATGGTCACTTCTCTGAACCCATAGTCTGGACCGACACCTCCCTTTGTGCAAAAAGCCACGTGGGGTCATTTGTGAATTGCCTGCAGATTCGTGGGGTGCTGTATTTACCTCTCATCTCAAGCATGTCACTTCCCCCACCGTAGCGCCTTGTCACAGGGTTCACTCACCCCTAGGGCGCCTCCTCCTGGCTACTTATGGGATTAGCTCCTTCCAGCTCCGACAACCCCTTCCGTCATCTTGTTCTCGCTGCAGCCCCACGTGCTCTCTGGGACTCTGTACTTTCCTCTTCCTGGCTTGGCTGCTCCCTCGTCAGGCCTTGGCCCTCTGGCTGGGTCACTGGCTGTTTTCCCCCTGCCAGGCTATCAAAGTGCCACAGAACTAACTGTCCCAGGCAGTCTCCAAACCCACTGCCCTGACTGTGCCACTTCCCCAGTAGCTGGGAGGGGAACCTGGGCCTGTCCTCTGCTCCTGGTTCCAGGTCAGGGATCCTTGAGTCAGTGGCTAAGGTCTGCAATGTCCTGCCTTGCTGGGGCTTCCCTGAGCCTTTTCTTCCTTTGCCTCTCTCACCTCATCCATCTCAGCTGCTAGAGAAAGGAACTGAAACACGAGGGAGGAAGTGGCGTATTTTTTTAATGTGCAACATTTAGAATTACAGACTCAAAATGAGGAGTTAGTATCAAACCAGGCGGCATGTGCAGGCTCCGTGGCTGGGGGAGCCCCTCCCATTGATAAAGCATTGTTACTGAGAGAAGACAGACGGGTGTTGGCACGTGGCCCTGTGGATCGACCCCTTCAGGAAAAGCAGCAGTTTCCCAAGGAATTCGTTGGAGTAGCTGCTCCAGGACAGGGATGCGGAGAGAGCCTGACCTCACACAGCTCCGTTCAGACACAGTTTCCCATTCATAATCTCCCCTCACACCATGGAACGATACTGCTGGCCAGGCGGCACGGTCCTGCTGATGGCAGCTCCTAGGAAGCAGCCTCTACCCAACTGGAAAACGTCACTTCAGTCTGGTTCTGCCCCTTCCATCTGCTGTGCGCGTCAGGGGGCCAAGGCTGGTTCTGCATCTGGGTTTTTCTGGTCCCTTTTCTGCCACCGGTAACACACCTGAGTGACACACCCAGTCGGGTGGATGTTCAGTTTCTCATGGGTACAACCTCCCACCTCCCCTTTTTAAATCATCAAGGGCTCGGCTTAGACATGATAGTAGCTGAGTTCACTGTGACGGCCTGTGTGAGTAAGGCAGGCCCTGAGCCCCAGCTCCCGTTACCAGCCTGAGTAACTGAGCTCAGGATCTCTAGGGGGGAAGAGGCGAGGAATCATCTCCTTCATGGGTCACAGAACGGTGGTGGAGCCACCCCAACGACAGGGCTGGAGCAGGCTCTGTGGCCCTAGCGCCCCAGCTCCACAGGGGCTCTTGTCTAGAGGATTGGTGCAGTGGCAGATTCACTCCCTGCCAACCCCATCCCTCTCCCTGGGGTCACACTGAGCAGAGAGCCAAGCCCTGGAGCGCACAGGGAGCGTGTAGGTGACACGCAGGTTCCTGCAATCCCACCCCTTTACGAAGTGACACCGCACTGCTCCTGCGGTCTGGGACCCTCTGCACCCACAGAGGGGTGGGATTTGTCCAGAAACGCACCAGTGTGTTGCCAAGATACCTGTAGGACAACGTCTTTCCTATCACACTAGGAAATCTCCCACCATCAAGAGTCTGGTTCGTTTTGTGACTTCCTGCTCTGTATAGGCTGGATGGACGAGTGGGTTAATTTTCAGTTACATTTTGGAACTGAGCCACATGCAGCAGCAGTGAACAGCAGTAAGAAGCAGTAAAACCAACCAACAGCTTTTACAGAAAGTCAACACCTTACAGGATGGTCCTGTCATTGAGACCGGCAGTGAAACAGCTGTGAGTGTCCAGGCTTGGATCCCCGTGTGGGCTACGATTTCCCCCTTTCCCCTTTCACTGGTCACTGCTCCCTGCTCTGGTTGTGATTCCTTGAATCAAACTCCAGTTGGGCATGAACTGTTTGACAACATTTAGCAACATTAGACACCTCCACGCAAAGTTAATTGGCCAAACTTTGATAGATTTGGACACAACAGTTACATTTACAAACTGATTGTTAAATTGTATTTAAAATTCCACTATCCAAACAGTGCACGTCATTAGCACTGAAATGATCATGGGAATCTTGCTTTAAAAGTTCAACACTTGGCTGAAAAAGGAGTTTAGAATTAAGACAGTTTTTCATGTACCCATTAACTCCTCTGAGTCTGCGGCTTTCGCTCTTTTACTGAATTTCCAACACTGACAGAAAAGGCCAAATCCAGCCTTAGCAGAATTACAGGGGTATTAGAACTGCCTGAATCCTAAATTCACTCATTTTGAAGACCCAGTCAATGGCTCATTAGAGGAAATTAAAGTTTTTCTTCACCCTTTACAGCTGTTTTCTGACCAATTTATACCCCAGCCCAGATTATCCTCCCACTTCAATGGGAGTTGTGCATTTACAACTGATTGGCTAACCAGGCCTCTGCTGTGTAATTTACATCACTGGTTACATCCCAATGGAATTTGCCCAGAGATTCCCATGGGAGTTAAACATGCTTATTTCTGGCAGAAGTTTGCCCTGTGTGATAACGCAAATGATGAGTAATATGAATAGTCTATTCAGCCATCAGATGCAATAGCCGTTCCAAGCAGCGAGCCTCAACAGGAGAGTTGCTGCATTACAGTGGTGTAAGAAGGAATAAATGTTCAATAGGGACAAACAGAAGGGACTGGTAGAGCTGTTTTCAAATTTTGTGAGAAATCAGCCCAAGTATTAATAGGGTTGCTGCTACGTCTCCACACCCGGGATGGACTGTAGTGTGTTACCTGGATTAGAACAGCAGTGACTCCAGGCCAGGCTCAGACACACCATCAACGCCACCAGGGAAATCGCCACTGCATAGCGCAGCGTCTGTGCCACACACCCGCTGGGATGGACTGTGGAGGAAGCTGACACCAGTGGAGTTGGGAGAATCATGTTTGCACCTTTTCATTAAACCCTTTGGTTTTAATTCCCCTCTCCCCCATAGTTGTTCTTATTTAATTCTTTACAGTGCTATATAGATACAATCTGGTTGAAAGCTGCTCTAGAAATCAGACCTACATTGTCTTGGAGTCCCTCTAATGTCTCAATTTAGATTTCCCCAAATTCTCTGCAAATCTGCCTACTTTTAATTATGGCACAGAATATTCCAGCTTTCTGTAATGGCAAATTACATTGAGGTAGCTCTCATGTGGCCACCTCACATGTATATTATCTCTTAATTTCCTTTATTCTCAAGTATAATATCACTCACCTTCAATATACCTGGCAATTTTCTTAACACTCTTGCCAGAAGAATTGAATTTAACATCACAGGTGAAATTCTTCCCACTGGTCCAGGTGACCACGGGGACACTGATGTGATTTAAGAACACCAAGAAGCCATCCTTTGCTTTCAGCGAACGCAGCAGCCCCTGTTCCTGCAGATCCCCAGAAATACTCAAGGAAATTTGGACTGGGCTGGAAACTCCATGGACCACACAAGCCAGATCAGCCGTCCCGGGGGAGAGGAGGTCGTGGGGAGATGGAGCCAGAGGCAGCACCCAGCTGCAAGTGGTGTAACTGTCTGTGGAATAAAGCAGAGAGTTCAGTGTGATGCTCAGCTGAGCTGCAGTTTGATTTAGGGGGTTAATTGTACAAGATGAAAATAGCTCAAAGGAAAAATATGTTGTATAAATAAGAAAATATTAAGAAACTGAAAAATCAAATCCACCCAAACTAACCACATATTTGCACTTGGCAGAAGGGAATCTCTGTGCTATCTTAGAAACTGATGCAGTCCTAAGAACATTTCCTAATTTCAAGACATTCTTTCATTTAAACATGGCTCTTAGGTTAAAAATATTCCCAGCGTGTGCCCTGACCAGGAATAAGACAGAACATTTTCAAGAGTTCATTTTCACCATTTTTCTAGCTTTAATTTTTTCTCTTCTTTAAGCAATTACTGTTTACTTGCTCTTTTTTGGTTTCAAACAGTCTGTCTTTGAACAATGGAATCTTTGATAAGCAGTCAAACCAGCTTTTTACATTTTAACGTGCACATGAACTATGTCAGCATTGTCATTCCATTTCTTTCCTAATCATCCAGTTGTTTCCTTACCTCCTACAATCAGGGTGGATCCGTTGTTGAAAGTCAAGAAGCTCATGTATGAATCAGTACAGTAATAAACCCCCGAGTCATTCCGTTGGGCATTGTAGATTTCCAGTGTCAAGTTGTGTCCTTCCAATATGCAAGCAACTTTACTGACTCTTTGATTATCTGAGCATCTTTTAATTAACATGGGGGCCTCCCCTTCCCGTCTCCTGTACCACTGAGCTGTCACACCTCCTGCTACAAACTGTTTTTTGGAAGAGCACCGGATCTTCGCTGTATCATTAATGTTCACAAACAGGAACGGCTGAAGTTGGTGCAGAAATAACTGCCCTTGTACCACTGTAGGAATAAAAGAAGGTGTGTTATTAGAGTCAATTTTCAGCAGGTCACAATCTGCCCTAAATAATCAGGATAATTCAGAATTTAACCAAATGCAATCAGATTACATTGTGCAAAAGTAAATGGAAGAGCATCTAAACTGCTGCAGAATTGTCCTAAGCTACCAGATAACATGAAAGCCGATGTCCAATTGAAAAGACTCCTTTCTCAATTCCAAGCTTAATGGTACAACTAATGCAAAAGCTTTACCCATGAAAGACAAGAGCAGGTATTTGGAGGACAGCATGACTGTAACAAGCAATATTCGGAAAGATGAAATTTAAAAGCACCCGTCCGGTACGCTGTTCAAGTGCAAAGGGTCCAACACCCTGGTCGGTTCTGCTGAGGAACGCCTCCTGGGGGAAGTGCTGTGGTGTCAGATACTTTACACAGGGGCTTCTTGTCGGCTGTTGTTGCATTTGAATCAAACATGGATATATTATCATGATTCAGAATAATGAAATGACCACCAGGACGTGGCACAATGTAGAATATGCAAGAAATAAGAGCAGTGTGGCGACAGCGGCGTGGGCGGTGGCTCAGGCTAGCCGTACGTGTCCAGAAGGTCGGGCACGATTGCATGGGAGAGGGTAGCCCGGGTTGCCACCTGTGCCGCCGTGGTCACACCGCTATCTCTCAGTGCGCTACATTGAGCGGCTGCCCTCCCAGCTGCAGTGTAGACGTGCCCTAAATGGGAGCTGGGCTCTTCTGGAAGTGCAGCCCCAGCTGTGGGTGATGAACAGCTGAGAAACGGGCTTCTCCCTGCGGCCTCAGTATTTTACCCACCGCTGCGCCTTATTGCTTGACAACATGATACTGAACAGTAATTTGGGAGCAGATTCTCAGCTGGTGTAAATCAGCATCGCTCCACTGATGCCAATGAACTGACGCTGATTTACACTAGATGAGCATCTGGCCCTTGGAGGTCTTTAAGGGAATCCTGAACGCTCACAGTGCGGCTCGCTTGAGAAATGAGACCAGGAAATCCCTGTGGCTGGATTTCCGGAGACCAGAACAGCTCAAGCTTTGTCACCTGCCTCCAAACTCTGCAGTTTCTGATCCTGCATTTTTGCGCACCCCAAACTCCCATTGATTCGAGTGGAATAGTGCTGGGTGCACCAGGAACGCAGGGTCTGGCCTTGTCAGCCCAAAGTTTGTGGGGCTACAAGGGGCATCGTGGGTGCCCTGCAAACACTTCATGCAGCAAGTTGTTCTGCTCCATATTTATAATCATAATGATTCCGATCTTGTCATGAGTAGATCCCAACGTGCTTTACAAAGGGGGTCAGTATCATCATCATCATCAACCCCATTGTACAGATGGGGAAACTGAGGCACAGAGCGGGCCATTGACCTGCCCAGGATCACCTCACAGGAGAGACAGGAATAGAACCCAACTCTCCCGAGTCTCAGTCCAAAACTGCCTAGTGGATAGAACTAATTATTAACATGGTCTTGTTGATAATTAGCGATTGACCTATTTTCTTAATGTCTCTGTGTTTGTGCCATGAAATTTCATTTGTTTCACGCTGCTGAAAGGTAAATTCCAGTTTTGTGGTTAGTTCAACTGTTCTGCTTCACCTTTGCTCTAACCATCCACTGGCTACAGAGGAATCGGGGGGAGCAGTTTACACTTTCTTGGTAACCAAAAGCAGGGGGATAGAACTGAAAAGAAGAAATCCCCCCAAGCTCTTTGCTCGGTGAACAAACAAAACAAAAGCGTCAAAATAAGTGGGTAGAAACTAACCACAAAAGCAAGTGCAATTATCCGAGCAAACAGGTTTTGATCTTTTTTTAAACCATTGCTCCTTTACAGCAAACATGCCTCTTTGTCCTGTAGCCTGCGGTTTTCTTAAGATCGGTTTCAATTTGCTTTCTTATCAAACATAATGTAGAAATAAAAATCAACCAAAACAATTACAGTTGCTTTCTCTGTGTCTTGGATTTTAATAGACTTGCAAAATGAACGTATATCAGTTGTGTGTGACTGGGGGCAAAAGTCTTTAGGGTAAATTTTCAAACATGCCTAAATGACTTAGGTGCCTAACTCCCATTGATTCTGAAAACGCTGCTAGTCACCTACCTGGATCTTTAAGCACCTAAATACCGTTGAAACTCTAGTTCCGAGGGCCCTAGATACCACTGAAAAATAAATCAATGGTACTTAGTCTTCCAAGTGCCTAAATCACTTTTGAAAGCAAGACGGGTTCCTAAGTGATTTAGGTGCTTCTACTGCAATTTGGCTAAATTTCTGTAACAATTAGTGTTAGGATTATAATTTTATCATTAAAACAACGAGGAGTCTGGTGGCACCTTAAAGACTAACAGATTTATTTGGGCATAAGCTTTCATGGGTAAAAAACCCACTTCATCAGATGCATGGAGTGAAAATTACATATACAGGCATAAATATATATTGGCACATGAAGAGAAGGGAATTACCTTACAAGTGGAGAACCGGTGTTGAAGGCCAATTCAGTCAGGGTCGATGTGGTCCACTCCCAATAATTGATGAGGAGGTGTCAATACTAAAAAAGGGAAAATTGCTTTTCTAGCGAGCCAGCCACTCCCAATCCCTATTCAAGCCCAAATTGATGGTGTTAAGTTTGCAAATGAATTGTAGCTTTGCAGTTTCTCTTTGAAGTCTCTTTTTGAAGTTTTTTGTTGAAGGATGGCTACTTTTAAAGCTGTTATTTAGTGTCCAGGGAGATTGAAGTGTTCTCCTACTGGCTTTTCTAGGTTACCATTCCTGATGTCTCATCTGTGTCCATTGTGTCCAAGTAGAGCTGTGACCACGTGGGTTGCAAGGCCTGTAGCTAGGAGCCGGGCCCAGCCTCACTGGCCAGGAGCCGTCACCACAGGAGTTATGGACTTTCCTCAGATTCATGGTTTCCGTGAACACCACGCCAAAATCATAGTCTGAATTCTAGCTAAGCTGATGTGCCTGATCCAAGGACCTTTGTATGGGACGATGCCAGTGTCCCTGTACGAAACACATCTATGGCACTAGGTCCCAAGTTAAGCAAAGGTCTTTTAATCTAGCTCTTTACTTATTTATCCTCAACCCCCCCCCACTGCAGTGTCGGGAGGAATTATCCCCATTTTACAGCTGGGGAGTGGAGGCCCAGAGAGACTTGGGGTAACATGTTCAAAAGCCCCTAAGTGATTGGGAGGCAAAGGCCCACTTTCAACAGGGACTAAGGCTTGAAAGTCATTGGGATGTAAGTGACCGGCCCTCGGTCACACACGGAGCCTGTGGCAGAGCAGGGGTTTGAACAGAGAGCCCCTAAGTCCCTGGCTAGCACCTTGACAACCGCACCGGCCTTCCTCTCTTCAAGCATGTGTTGAAGTCCCAGTGAACCAGTTAGGCCAGGAGAGGTGTTTGCACCACATTCAACTTCCCCTGGAGCTAGGTATGAATGAGACACGGGTCAGACCTTGGCCCACATCCTGGTCCCTTTGTGCTGCTCCCATGACAATAAGGGATCAGGAACTGGCTGCACGTACCAGGGGGTATAAGGCAGCAAAGACAGCCCTTGCAGCCAACAGCCCTTGGCATGTGAGGTGTGACCGGAGCAATCTGCATTCAGGGTCTCCCCAGTTGGCAAATGGATCCTTGGGAGTCATGACCTGCTGGTGCAGTTTAGAGCAGCCTCCAGGCTGGGCCAGCTTATATATGGCCTGAAGATCAACGTGGGATAACAGGAGAGTGGACCCAGCAAAGGATCTGGCCCTGATTTGCAGTAGGGTTTTATTGAGGCTGAGGTTTGAAAGGGCAATTTCGATGCTCAGTTACTGTGAGTTTGGCAACCAAATCCCTGATGGGGCTTTGTAAATCTCAGCCCTAATATCCAAGTACGGTCATCTCTGCGGATCGGCTGTATTCCAGACTGTGTGGGTCTTCTCAGCACATGTGCAACATGCCTCAGGTGGCACGTGACCAGGATTCACCACCAAATTTGGTCCGTTGGTTGATGAAAACTGTTTAGAGGGGATGGATTTGGAATCTTAGTGGGCATTTCACTTTGCTCCCTTCGTAAACAATTTTGCACATTACGCGAGGGAACATGCATTCTGCGTATATCTGAAGTAAGTGTCCTAAACCACTTTTTGCCCCGAATTGTCCCACATGGTGTCACTTCACCACACTCTCATACTCTAGCCTAATGGTCCCCAACCTTTTCCGTGGGGCGGGCGCCAGACGACTACCCGCCGAGGACCGTGGCTGCCGGACAAGCAGCCGCTGAAATGCCGCCGTGAAGCGGCAACATCAAGAGGCGTCGCCACCGAAATACCGCATTTCGGCGGTAGCGCTTCTTCACGTTGCCGCTTCACGGAGGCATTTTGGCGGCTGCTTGTCTGGCGGCCAGCAGGCAGGCGCACATGGATGCCCCGGCGGGCGCCATGGAGCTCGCGGGCACCGCGTTGGGGACCCCTGCTCTAGCCCCATCCATTGCTTTCCCAGTGGGCCACATTCCCAGCCCTTTCTTTTATCTAGAGTTATAATTAAACACTCATACAAAGTTTTATTTTTGCTAATTTTCCCACTTCTATGGTACCCAATGAGCCTGTTTGCTGGTTTCTTCCATCCTTTGCTAAAATCTTGGGGAAACCTTGACCTCCATGTGAAATGCCTCTTGGCGATTGTTATGTTCACATCATACAAACAGAGATGTTAAATAAACATGAAATACTCTTGCTGGAGGGTTGCAGCTTAATACGACTTTTATTCTTAGATAACACACAGTAAAACCAAAACCAGAGAGAGACGAAGCAGGCTGCTCCGCAAGCCATAGAAGCAAAACTCACCTCATCTTTTTCTAGGCTGGCTCTTTCCAGACTGAGAGTTGTTAGGCCCAGATTACACACTTCCCTACAGACAGGGAGCAGGACCAGGAAACCCCCTGAAATTTAAAGGGATAAATCACAAGATTAACAATTTTCATACACCACTGTGATATTGATGCTAATCCCATCTGACCTTAATCATCTGTGAAGCAGAATTGCAGTCAGAAGAGGGTCTTATTATGGGCATCCAATTAGAACACAGCAGACTGCACTATACACACACACACCATGCTGTTACCCAGTCTGAACTTGAATTTCTTCTCTTATAGATTTTAGAGGCGCAAAGGAACATTCTTCCCCCGGTTTGCTCTGCTGGCTCTCAGAGTAAGATTTTGAACGGGGTTCTCAGTACCTCCTGGCCCTCCTTTTCTGTCATGCATGTTGCCCCACAGATCTACA